ATCCTACTTCATTCATGTATTAGTGACTTATGAAAGACACTCACCAAGACTTGCAGGAGCCACAATGATGTGCAACTTAGTTTTTTATCCCTGGTGAAACTGGTTCGAATTACTGTTTCCGAAGAAGGATTGATTGGCCTGGACAGGAGCCAGGGGATTGACTCACAGAACATACGCGTGGTAGGTGTGCCACCTGCCACTACGTTACCTTCGGCAAATGACCGAGGAAAAATGGGGGACGGAGGAAGAACGACACGGCCATAAGGTCTTGTAAGTTAGTCTGTTGCTGCTTGCGTTTGACCGGAATCCATAACTTCTTTATATTTAGCCATAAACAGTTTAAGAATCGTGGAACTGGCCCATTTGGTAATTTTACAGGATTTTGCAAAATGTCTCGGCACATTTGCAAAAGTTCGCAAAATCCCGTTCCACCCAGCGAGTGCCGCCTTTGGAAATATCGATTCAGTAATACTATGTCGTATTTTTTAATGCTGGTTACGTCAGTCGTAATTTGTGTTAAAAGCGATAATCGAGGACTGCACGCATCGATTGGGGCAGGGCGGAGCTAGCGACGTAGGGTCCCGCAACGAATACCTGGCGCCGGCCCAAATTGTTGGCAAATTGCCTCTGCCAGGGAGTAGGAATCAATAGCGCCGTTTTATGGTTCTGATTACTGTTGCGGTGGACGTTGAGAAACACTTTGTAAGGAAACCACCGCGTTCTAAGCACGGTGACAGTCGCGGCTAAAAAGCGTAGAGGCCATTCCACAATTGGCGCTACAACGGAAAGTTATCCCACAGATTCCCCTCTGCACAGTTTATATTATAGCTTCCATCGCAATATATGACAAGGAAGAAGTGACTACCAAATTTTCTGTTGAAGGGATAGCGCGCTCCAGTCCAAAAAGCCTGCTCCAAGGCCGCGGAAAACTCGTCCCCGAATTTTTCCTGTTGTAGATTTAGCGGCGAGTTCACTTTTTTGATTGATTTTGCTTTACACCTGATTCCATTAATAGAGCACTGAGCTACCACTTATCTGGCCCCGCCCCAGTGTTGTGAATTTACAACCTTTTATATGGAATAATGGAACTATCTTCGAGAACCGATTGATAACATTTGGTTCAACTCATAAGGCGCTACTTGAGATGAGCACCTCTTGAATTAATATGACGTCGGCATAAGGGAGCGGTACCATGCATGTGTAATTGGGTGTAATCGCGCCTGTAAATGACGATGGTTCCAGGTAGTAGATGGCGACAACAGGCAATTCAGAACCGAAAATAGTCATGAATGTCTACGATGACGGGGTCTACATGAAGTCCGGTAGTCGGCATGTTAATACGAGTCAAGGAAACGCCGCGCCAGCGCCGCGCGCGGCGGAGCGGCGTATTACGATTCTCTTTCCCGTCTCCCCTGAAACAGTTGTATACGCGTCCTTCTTCATTAGAGTCCTAATGTAAGTGTGATCTAATTACTGATGTTGCCCTCCTACGGCAGGCATTGTTCACAGTCTGCGACCCTGACGAAGACGGCGGATGGGCGAAAGCAATAAACTGCGTTTCGATTTCGCTGGCGAAAAGCGGCCAGTAGCCCGTGAGCTAGCGTTTCGTGCGAAAGCGAACGTAGCGGTTTGGCGAAACGGCCTGTCCGATTCGTATCAAAACCGCCCAACCGCCAGACTCTTCGCCCAACCGCCAGTCGATACGTATCAAAAGCTTTTCGCCGAACCGCTGCGTTCCAGAGAAACGCTGGGACCGCAGACTGTGAACAATGCCTCAGCGGCCTCAGCGGCCTCAGCGCATCTATTCAGATCCGCAACAAGCACATCTCGAATATATTTATTGGCCAGGCCAAACGCAGGGTGCCACAAGGTTCCAACTAATATATATATATATATATATATATATATATATATATATATATATATATATATATATATATATATATATATATATATATATATATATATATATATATATATATATACAGGGGGGCCAAAAAAGTCACTTCGACCGAGTCACATATCAGCAAAGTTTTTGCAGCCCAGAGAGAAGATGTGGATACGAGTACCAGGGCGGAAGACACCTTAGATGTTCCTCGAGCTGGCTCTCGCCCATCACCTTCATGTACACCAAAATATGAGGTCATCTCCAGTCGCAGCCTGACTGGAGAAGACCTTTGGAATTCATGTCACCTCCAAACAGCTGCGAAACTTCTAGTGTGGAGTCACCCATGGGTAGCTACCTGGAGACTAGTACTCTCAATCTGGAAGACCTCCAACATCGAGCAGCTCCGACAACGTCGCTACGGTCTAGGACATCATCTTCACCGCAGTCGTTCAAGGAGCGGGTTTGATGGTATGGACCGGAGGTACCTAGAATGGAAAGACCAATATTTTCTTCGTGGACCCCGGACTGAAGGTGAGCGCTGGCGGTTATCATCGAGCAACTCGCAGAAGAATATCTCCCCACATGTCGCCGCCCCTCCTATGCTTCCGTAAACTTTGTACTGGCTAGCAGGCGGGTGGCCACCACGTGGAATCGAATCGGGGCGGGGTTGGAGAAACTTCGCCTACTTGGAATGGAAGGGGCTGAGTACCTAAAGAAGATGGAATATCCAAGTAGGTCACCTGACCTGAATCCCCTCAATTACCCGGTTCGGGCGGAGTTCAATAGGGTGGTCTACGGTGGCGGAGAAATCGACTATCTCGCTGATCTCAGGCACCACATCGCGGTCGCGTGCCAGAATCTCTCGATGGCGCTCGTCCAGAAGGCTGTGGCGGAGTTTTATAATAGTATTTAATTTGCTCATTAATATGGTGGTAGAAAGTCCGATAGAGTTTATAAAGTGTAAACTTAATAAGCGCCACGAAAGTCAATGAAGAAGTGACTTTTTTGGCCCCCCCTGTATATATATATTATATATATAATATATATATATATATATATATATATATATATATATATATATATATATATATATATATATATATATATATATATATATATATATATATATATATATATATATATATATATATATATATATATATATAATATATATTATAAGTATAAAAAACAAGTGGCGATAACCCTGGCTCAACAGTGCGATACACTGCTGATCCATGCAGGGAAGCGCACTGCTGTTCATCTATGAGTTTGATCTTTGCTTCATATTGCATTTGGTTCACGTGGCCGCATTCTCCCTCGACGCTAAGTGTGTACAATGCGATTTGAAACCTTTGTTTGTTTTGCAGCGCCATCACGGCGCTTGTTCGAGTCACATGTTTCCTTCCGTAACTCGTCTGCTGTTTCGATAGTACACAATTCCATTTAGTTGGCCGAGTACCTTCATAGCACTGACCTGCAATGGAACCGTATAATGTTAGTGGAAGGTGATTTGTGAAACGTATGCTTCCTCTGTATGTGGTAGTTCATAGTCTTGTGCTTGTAAGTGAAAGATTCCTGATTTCTCTTCCTATACCTTTCACATCATAGTTTACGATGGCGGCAGTAGACCAGCAATTTTCATTTCTGCCTCCCAGACGAACACCTCACGTGCTAACGTATTTGGGGGGGGGGGGGGGGGGACCACGCGGCTCGCGGCGAGCGATGACTCATCCGCTCTGCTGCTCCCTCCTCGGCAAAATAGCAGTATTTTCATGATTGTGCATCTAATCCTTTCTATGCGGCGAGAGTGCATCTCCCCTAGCTGTCGGAGACTCTCTCGCTCTCTCTCACTCGGATCGACTGGACGATAATCGCTGGTTTCTTTTTCAAAATTACTGGTGACTCACTAGTGGGAACGTAGGGTACTACAGTGAATTACTAGTGACTTTTGGGGAGGTCAAAGAAAGGATTAAGAGTATTCGAGGTCACAGAAGTGCATACAATTTTTATTTCCTTGTGTTCACGTAAGTCGGGATCTTTTGCATGAACAAAAACGTGTCCACCCGAATCTCTCGTGCAAAAAACAGAAGTGTTTTCTATCGACACGAGCTCATCGTGAACTCGTGAAACATTTCTTTAGCACCTTTTCGGACTGCCCAGAAGCTCAGGAAAAAAAGACTAGAAAAATTGCCTTTTTGAGATTTGTAAGTTCTTTTTCTCACTTGTGTTCTCATAATTATCCTCGTGGAGTGTTTCGAATAACAGTGATAACTTTCCTCACTTCATTTTGGTCAAGTATTACACTGTCCTTGGTGTGCTGATATCTACCGCTATCTTCGTTTTCTATTGAATAGCTTAGCCTTCACCAATTTTCTCAATATCACCCTGCTCACGTTGAAAGCAGGCTGACCGTTCTTCAAGTTGGTGAGTCACTCTGCGTGCCTGACCGCAGCGTGCTCTCCCGTCTGGTGCCGGCCCCGAGAGCGAGACGCAGAGAAAAAACGGATTAGTTGTCCTAAGGCCTATTTTCATGTTAGTGCATGAATATAACACCGCTCTGAGGTGCTATTTTCAAATGGTAAAACAGTTAACGCTGGAAAGTGCAAAGAAACAACTGTAGGGTGGAAGATTCTTGCCTAATCTACAAGGGGTGTAAAAGTAGAAGTGACACTATTAAATAAGTTGGATGCTCCGCAGAATCGAAAGACAGATCTACTCCATTAGCTCACTATGAAATCGCAGAAATTGAATCTTAATCACGAGGCATTTCACCCCACTAATTCACTTCACCTCTTGAAATCAATTTGTTTTCAGCTTCTCTGGGATTTCCCTGCAAGTTTCCGGTGAATCTTGTTTGTTTCATAATAATTTGGCTGCTAGATTCGCGCTTCAAGTATGCCGATGAGTGAAGAGCGGATGAGTCATCGCTCGCCGCGAGCCGCGTGGGTACACTGCAAGAGACTGATTGTAAGGTTCACTTTTTTGTGATTTATGTGATTTTTATCGGCCCTTGAAGTGGAATGTTTGTTTGCGTATTCTCAGTCGATGTGGCTTAGGCAACGTTCCTTCGCGACACCCACGGCGATCGGAGTGATCGTAGCGATCGCCGCGATCGTCGGTACAG